CCCCAAAACCCCAAAACCCCAAAACCCCAAAATTTTTTAAATTATTGAAATAAGATATAATGGGATGCTAAGGATGAATTTTAAGCCTTTATAATTAATTACACATAGAGCAGCATTACGATCCATACCTCACCATTAAGGTTCCTGAAGCCTGACATTCCTCCTCCATGGTCTGATTAGCCTCTCTGGATCTGGGTATTAGACATACATGATTCAGGAACATCTAAGATGTATGATTCTTTGAGTTATGTGTGATTTTTGAGGTTTTAGGAGATTTCACTGAAAAATTATTGCATTTTTTCATAAAAATTTCAAATTCTGTCAGAAATTCCAAAAATTATAGATCCATACATGAATTCGGTGGCTCATATTAAGTACCTTAACCTTAAGCAGAACTCTCTTAGCAAACATCCTCTCTAGTCTCTAAAATTGCAATATTAGTCGAAGAATCCATCTACGAGTACACAATCCACATTCTTTCCCATTCTCGTTCATATTTCACCGCTTAAGGGGACTCAAAATCCATCTTTAATCCCATCAGAATTCTAAAATATCAATCATCAGTTCTTTGCAGTATCATAACTTATTGCTCTCCAGTAGGTGAACAACAAAGCCGTCCAAATATGATTTTAGGGTTCCAGGCCCTCTCAAATTTTACAGAACAGGTTGACTAAAAGACTAGTCTATCAACAAGAGAGTTCAAGAATAATTCAATCAATAGCTATTCTGGATCAAAGTTTTTCACTTGTAATTCCAAATATTTTGGTGTGAATCATAAAAGTCGATATTTTCAGTAAGAGAATTTAGATGGGCTGCACAATATATTGTGAAATGTGAATGGAGTTAGAGGAGAGGAATATAGGGCTTATATGAAGAAGAAAATGAGGACTAGAGATGGTGTTTAGGGCAGTATGTTGCACTAGATTTGTAAACTTAAGGTTATGGATTATTTTTGTGTAGAATTTGCATTTATTAGAGAGCTGAGTTTAAAGGACTTTATTTTAGCAGCTGTCATTGTTAGTTGTTAGTTTAATATTTGGTATTGAAAAATATATATTAGTGTTTAAAATTCGAGTTTCTATCATTCTCTCAATATTTAAATTTGTATTATTCTTTTCTTAATTTATTTAAAAACTCTTCAAATCCCTTCTTTCTGGGGTTTTGGGGTTTTGGGGTTTTGGGG